ATTACAGTATTAATTGTGATAGTCTTCTAAGAAGTGGAACTACTGTTTAAATCTTACTCTTTGTTATGTGCCTGGTGAGCAATTTGAAATCACCAGCCACTCAGTGGGAGAAGGAGTGAATTTTCTTCTCCTGTAAAGAGTGATAGTCTCAGAAACCCACAGGGCCAGTTCTACCCTGTCCTTCGGGGTCTCTATGAGTCGGCATTGATTCAACGGCAGTGAGTTAAAAAAAGAACAACTATCTCCGCAATATATATATGTATAGCAAGGTTCCGTTCAGCATCCAATCAATCACGTACTCATTGCACAATCGGGGGCTCTTGCTTGAGAATAAAGGTGTCGGATTTGCCTTTTTCATTCCATTCTGGATACTAAAAGAAGGACCCTGCCTTGGTAGTACAAGGCTCATGCTTCAAAGGTCATGCTGTTGACTGAAATTTGGAAGAGTCCCACTCTCCCAAAACCCCATGGGAAAAGACCCGGCAAGCTGTTCCTAACAGTCACAGCTTGAAAGCTCTGTGGGACACACCTGCTGCTTCTTGAAGGGTAGTTATGTATGGAAACAGACTCCATAGTCCCTAACAACCAAAAGACGGAACATTTTATTGTTCTTTTACCTATATTGCTCGAGTAAATGTAGATCTAAACTCAGCAGTGGTTAGGTTTAACGCACTATTGGGACCTCATCAGTATTACATAGAAAACCCTATTCCCAAATAGTAATATATCCAAGGCTTATAAGAGATTTCCAATAGTCCCAATCCAAGAGCAGTTATTTCTGATAACATGGCTCTGCTTGATACTCGCCATCATGAAATGATCACTGAAGATAAGGGGGCTACAGCAAAGTGTGGTGAAGAAATAAGAAGGTGCCCAACTAACAATCAGAAGAGTGTCTGGGCTCTTAAAGGCTTATCTTCAAAAAGCAGCCATCTAAGCGAGAAGTCAACTAAGTCCAGGTGGAAAAAGCGCACCAGCTTTTGTGATCCAAAGATAACAATAACAAAATTCAATGAAGGGAAAAGTATCAAAACTAAAATTATGAACAGTTAATTTGTAGAAGGCTATAGAGGACAGTGAGAGCCCAAAACCCATTTGCTGAGTATCTAGTTATTAAGCTGCTGGCAGGTCTCCTGTAGCCATAGGCAAGAGCCAGAGATCACTGTATTCTTGATTAGGCTGGATCAAACTTGATACTTGATCAGTTGACCTTCCTCTTGACCCAGCCTGAATTTGTTCTAGGCGCACGTATCTCTTGCTGGTTCCATGACAAAAATTTCTTCCCTGGCTTTTAAAATATTGGTGGTGGTTTTTTCTTTCTTATTCATTATTTGTAATTTTAATCTTTAGATTACTATTATTTTATCCTTACCACTTTATTTCATTTTTGTTCTTTATTGGTTTGCCATCGAATCAATCTGACTCATAGTAACTCTA